AAAGAGATCTTTCATGCCTACCTCGATGCCGAACCCTCGAATTAGGTCATCCGTGAGGAACGTAACATTTTCCGCTTCGATAGAGGTAGTGAGAACGTCTATGAGTGCGACCGAGAAGATCAGTGCTCTTCTCGGTGACTTGAACGTTCCCTGAAGGCTGTCGAGTCAGCCCTAGCTCAGCACCATTTCTTTCAAAACGGACGAGCCGTCGGTACATGTGCCAGATGACGACTCTCATCGACGTTGAGGGAAAAGGAGCTCAGCTGCTTACAGTGTATATCACTTCGACAGAGCTGGGCTGAATCCTCTTCTCACGCACCAATGAGGCACGGAGAAGCTCCTGTAGCCGACCTGTGTCGAGGGCATCGTCCAAGAGGCTTAACACGGCGTCTGATGCCACGATCCATTCTACTGTTAGAAGGGCTGCGCCTACTGACTTTGCAAAGGAGAGATCCTAAAAGAAGGAATGAGGATGCAACGATGATTCATCGACAATCCATGGCCATCTCAGTGGCGAGACGAGAAAGGGTTCACGCAGAAAGACTCAAGATAGAGCTGTACGATATGTTGCTATCGAGGATGTAAGCATCGGTCTATTGAGAACTGATTTCTAGTAACAATTCAATTGTCTTCCGGGAAGGAAGCCCACCACGAATCTTCATGAGGTACCATTAGTATATATAGGCTCCTGATGTGAGGACTAGTGCCATACTAATCTTTGGTGAGGACGAGCCAAGACAAAAAATGCAATCCAATTTTATTTTATCGGTTGCTGGTGAAACATTTCCAACATTTTTATGCGAGAAATTGAATGCGGATGCTCATCTAGTTGACTTCATAAGCAACCACGGCTACCGCTCGCCGAACACATCCTGGCATGACGCCAACCAAACGAGCTCCTTGATTGCAGATTAGCATTCCTCTCGAGAACTGCTCGTCAAGACACGGCGGATAGAGGCAAGCCTCTCCGACAGGCACGCCGCGGCCAATGCCCGGGCATCGACAGCTCTGCGTGGCGGAGAATATCTCCAACGACGTGATATCAGCGAGGTCCAGCCGAACCTTAGAGGGACTACTGCCGCCACGTTGAACGGGCATAGCCAGTTACTTTATCGTCAGCCCGTAGGAGCTTGCTCCCTGGTTCAATCCACACTTCTCCATCAGGCCGAGCTCTTACGACCACCATTCCGTTCAAGTCGACATCTTGATGCTCGACTACTCGCTTTGTTAGTATTATCAAGGCACCACTGAAATAGATACACAACAGAGCATTACAAAAAGTAATTCCGAGCATATATCGACCTTTACGCTCAATCCAAGCCTATGTTGTGAAGACAGCTGTTGTGCTGGTAATGTCTTTTCAACTCAGCGTCGTACTAGAGCATATTTCGATTGCTGGTTCTATATATCTATATCACTGCTATCAGAAGGAGCTCGAAAGTTATAGTATCATATGCATAGTGCTTTAGCTGCGCTCATGTATCCACCGTGACTGTGGACAGAGAAATTACCTCAAGGTGCTAGTATCTCTCAATGAATCATTCATGGCAAGGCGGTTACATCCCGGACCTGTGCAGGTTATGGCAACGTCTGATATGCCAAGTCGAGTGCAGTAATCCCTGAGTGATTCGCTAACGCTTGCGTTCGAGCATATCTCCTCTCACCATTTATCCCTAGCTCGACCTCGGCATATCCAACCATGTTCGACCTCACAAGACTCACTGCAGCCGTCCCCAGGTATAGTATTTCCATCATCACAATCCTCTGACCCAACCCGGATGCCATCACCGCAATACATCGGGCTAATCACTATTCCTGAGAGTTACTGCGCTGGTGATGAAGTTCTTCAAGCATCAGAGCATCAACTATACGCTATTATACTAACGATTTGCACACATCTCCTGAGCGAGCTCATGCTTCTAGCTTTGCTTCCCGTCACGTGTGCACTAATCAGTATGTAGTTTGGTGGAAAACCGACACATTTTGGCTGATGAAAATTTCAGGAGTTCGTACAGTGGTTTCTCGTTTGCACAAGAATCCTATAAGGAGCCTACCAAACTGTGCTGGAACTACAGTTGATCCCGTCCGCCATCTCAGGAGATGAGAGCCCGGACCGAGTACGAGTCCAGTGCCAATTACACTATCTGATAGTTAGCGATTCATCAAAGTCTAACTAGCTACGGTCACCTCCACAGAGTTCTCTTGGAGATTTTGAGGAGTTCCAAGTCCATTGCATGCTGACTCCATCCGCAATGCAAAAACTCCGTTCTGGCGATAATGGCCGTAGGATGGCTGCTCGCTTGGAGAAGTCGAGCCTCGTGGAAACGCATGTGATCCGGCATTGGATCGTCCGAGGCAATCACAACTCACCCGATCAGAGCTTCTTCGTTGATCGCATTGAATGATTGTCGTTTCAGAACGACTTTATGCGCTCCTTCATCAAGCACTTCAAATCTCCAGCAGTGCCAACCACTACAGGTGATTGTGAGCCCGTCAAATGATAACTTCTGTTGAGGAGCAGTGAACGCTCTGTTGGGTTTAAGATCACATTCGCGATCACATCTGAAGGCAGTAACCGCTTCGCAACTCCTTCCACGTGAGATTGTCAGAAATCAAAATAATGAACATGTCAACGAACAAGGTTCACGCCTTCAGAATTGACATACGCGATGTTCAGCCAAGTAGGGGCTCCTTGCCCTGGTTCTTGTGTAACGACTTTTACACTCTCTATTATGAAGATCGCGACTTCTGCGCCGCCGCGGCGCCTCGACGCCGACGCGCAGATTGCGCGTCATTGCTTCCGTCATTTTCACCTTTAGTCGAACACTACTGTTCTACGCACTGGGTTGGCATACCAATAACGAGAATCATGAAACATGCGAAGTACACTGTGACCACATTCGCACTGTGACTCTCGAATTCAACTTCTATCAGAATTCACAGACCACGAATTTCGAACTATCCACAGTTTGCGAATCGAGTAGAAGGGAAACTGCAACTTTCATTATCGGACTATTAGATAACTAAGCCAGTTACTCCACGAACGCTCAGCGCGAAAGAATGAGGTTGATGAGATTGTTCGGAACCTCGAAACTAGGTTGATATTGAGGCTCATGTGAGAGTAGCATGATGCTACTGGTATCTCACCCTGCATCATCATTATCGTTCAGGATGCTATCATCACATTGTTCTCGCCAACCTAACAGCACTCCATCACCACATTTCATGCCTATGAGCAGCATAGACCACGACACGTTAGATCTTGCTAACGACATTTCAGACCTGCGAACACCGTGCTTGCTACATGTGACCGTCCCGATGTGCTACTTCGCTGTGGTCCATTCAATTGTGGGATTTCGCCTATCTATAACTCGCCACATATATTGCTCATGCAAGAAGCCTAGGTTCGATTCGGTTAGGCGCCGTGGATCATCAGGTCCACATCCTGACTGGAGTAGAAACAACAACTCCGGAGGAAGGCTCTAGATCGAATCCCACAGGTAGCATTTTCACAGTACATATATCAATGTCGCCGTCACTCACAGACTTCAGTCGAGCAAATCCTTACCAGCGTCTTCCCTAAAGCATCTAAATGGCCACTCCCAGCACAGAGAGGACCGACTCCAGTAACCGGCTGTAGCCACCCAACAACAGCTGTAGCGCCCTCAGCCAGTCTGATGTGGACACGAGCTCGCTCTTGGGGATCTATTGGCCCTATGCGGCTGAGAAGTAAAGAGCCTGGCAATGGTCCTCCCTCAAGCGAAAGAGAACTGCAGGAGCGATAGTCGCAGTAGATAGAACCTGGAAGAGGAATACAGTCATCAATACAGTCAATAATACAATCACTAACAAAGTCACTGATAATACAGTCACCAATACAGTCAATAATACAGTCCCTAATACAGTAACTAATAAAGTCACTAATACAGTCACTAATACAGTCACCAATACAGTCAATAATACAGTCACCAATACAGTCAATAATACAGTCCCTAATACAGTAACTAATAAAGTCACTAATACAGTAACTAATACAGTAACTAATAAAGTCACTAATACAGTCACTAATACAGTCACCAATACAGTCAATAATACAGTCACCAATACAGTCAATAATACAGTCCCTAATACAGTAACTAATAAAGTCACTAATACAGTAACTAATACAGTAACTAATACAGTCGCTAATACAGTAACCAATACAGTCACTAATACAGTAACTAATACAGCCACTCAATACAGTCACTAATAGAGTCACTGAGTGAGCCATTGCAAGCACGAATAATGAGCCCAACTGACCTTCCATATTAATTGCCATGCATCGACTACGCCGAGAGTAGCGATTGTCATCGAGTTCTATCCCGACACATGCATAACGAGGCAGGACTTCGCAGCCGCCAATCGAGCATCCGACAGCCCCATCGCACTCTTCACCGACAACGTGTATACCATCGCCGCAAATTTGCGGGGCCTGGCGAAAAGGTTGTCTCCTTTCGAGGTGAACTACTGTCATGAGACTTACAATGAGAATACGCAGCATGCTCCTTGGTGTGATAGGAAGAACACGGAGCAGTGCCCTCTGATTCCATTGCACTAGTGCCTGGGAATGACAAAGTGCCAATGGTAGACAGGATGTTGTGCATTAGAGGCTTCCAACAAGCAATGGATGTGAACTCTATGAGCTCATACTCATTACCACATCATGGTAAAGTCCCGTTTGACAATCACCTAGTATCACTTCGAGTATACGAATGGCGGTAAACCGTTGAAGTCATATTCAGGAGAAGCCACCGAGAACAACGAGGGAACTGACTAACCACAGATTTCCTCTCGAGACCACAATCTCGTTGGCTTCTCTGATGCATCGGTCAACAGTGACCATCCAGTGCGTCAGTGGAATGTTCAAGCGAGCGACCACTGTATTCAAAACCGAGTGAGTGAAATCGATTGACATTGCGGGTATGTGCGCACAATCATCGGACCCACTTGTTCCTGTGGTAAACACAGATCTTCTTCATATTGTCCATACACTCTGGTGAATGATACTTCTCCCACTCTGCAGTCATCTACTATCACCACGTAGTTGATATCCTCAGTAGAAATACGCAAGATGCTCATTAGATTCGCATATTCACTCCTACAGTGCAAACCAAAGAGTTATGCAAATCAATGACCTTCGAGAGGCATAAAATTATAGTAAAAATTGATTCATAGCATTTCACACTCGTTTCATCATCCTCTGCTAAGTTCCGGGCGCGTAGAAATTTCCGGACTCCATTTTAAAATAGACGATTTGTATAACGGTTAGACCAGCACGACTTCACACGTCGAGTACTCACCCACTGCCAAGCTGCACTACGCCTCCATCAACCACTTCAGCATGAGTCTGTCGCGCGCAATGGTAACCACGACAGCCGATGCTCATCGATCTGGAAGGCCCACGGGTGCACTGCTTAGTTATGCACATGAACCCCGGTGCTGCCAGGCATTGGGCACTCAGACATGCCTGAGGCAACCATGATCACTGCATGTCAATGAGCGTTTCCGAAGTATGATCATAGCTAAAATATCAGCTACTGCCTGTCCCACAATCTAGCGCGCCTCGAACTGGCGACTATCAGGAGCATTAGTGAGAACTGATCAGATGAAAGTGGACACTACTATAACTTGAATATGACTAGCCCCAGCACAGCAATGAGAAAGTACAATACGTGTCAATTTGTTATGCAAATGTGGAGAATATGCATTGTTTTGGTGGGCAAATGATAGTGAAAAAGTAAGTCGCTATTACAGTCCAGAACGGGTACTCTCATCATCACAGCATAGCCATGTTCATAACCATCGTTACATTGCAAATCGATTCTCATCAATCTCGGAAAATAACACACATTTGCATACCGAACTGACACGTACTGAGAGCATGCTGAATGACACTGTTAAGAGTCAGGAACATTTGACAGCGTTTGAGTATCCGACGGCTCAAGAAAGCGAAAACTGGTTTCCAACCATCTAAGCGTGTAAGGGGTTTTCCGAGTGAGCTACAACTCACCGACGAGTAGGATCTTCCAACGTCGCATTCCTCCTCGTATCCTTCCACAACTCCGTCACCACAGCGAGCAACACTGACCTCAACTCTGATACCACACCCGGACCAACAATGGTTACATCGAATGACCAACCTGTATGTATCACCAGATATCGTCGGGTTCAGGTGTAATAGATGATCTCCTTCCGGAAGAAAAACAGGCAACGAATGCTGGAAGGACTTATTCGCTCTACAGGGTAGAGTAACTGAGCTCGGAAAATATACGTCCAGTGGAGTTTCACCCGTTTTACGTAGCGTGATACTCCATGTGAAAAGCGCGATATGAAATAAATTGAAAATGCTTCGCGAATCACACCGGACAAATTACCCCATTTCACGTAACACAATTCACGTGTCATACGCGTTATTCACTGCTTACATGCGTTTTTCACGGGGTGAAATGTGAAATATGGCTTCCACTAGTGTTTTTCATATCACCAATGAAACCCCAATATTATGCTTAACCCCCTTATAGAATTAATATATGATTCCAAATGTAATGGGAATATTTCAAATGTTTGAGTGCTCACTAGGGTAGAGGCCCGATATTCTTGCGAACAATTCGCAGTCGGGTTCATCCGATGCCGTATTCGAGTAGTACACACGAGCAACACTTTGAGCATCAACTCGAATCTGAAGAAAAACTCATGAAAAATGCAATTCCGAGTAATAGATACGTTCGAAGGAAGACCATGAACATCGTTGACGTGACGCCCTGTTCATTGGGGACAGCACGCATGTCCTTGCGCGGAGTCACCCATAACGGGTGTCGGTGGGAAAATGCGACTATTAGCATTGTCGTGATGACTCAACAAGATACTATTTATTGTCTCGTGCGAGCCCGTAGCAGATCGAGAATCCTCACTGTGAGCTTTCCTGACTGTTGCCGGAGGACCACGAGACTTCCAGAGTCGCTCACCAGGTTGTACCCTCTGCAGAGACCATAACAAGCGACGGCTATGTAACTGAGAAAATGATATTCGATATAAGGTATAAAGACCTTTGATATTGCAGATGATCTATGAAAATGCGTATGAAAATGCGTGTAAAATGTGTGTGTATGAAAATGACGCTTTCCACCACTACCCTACAGCAACTTGCATGCTACCTCACAGTGCAGTAGTCGCGACTAGTCTTCGTTCCACCATTACAAACATAACCGAACCTTGTACCCGAAGAGGTTACGGCCGACGGCCTGAAAAGTGCGAATCGCAGACAAGCTGAGCTGAACCAGTAAAGGTAAGGTATGCACATGGTCAACTACATGTGAAGATGACAATTCTAAAATTCCGAGAAAATGTTGTGATATTCTTATTGGTCTCTATACATTTTCACTAAGAATACGTAAATGAATTAATGAGGAAACTCCTGAGCTCAGTTGAGGCAAGCGAACATATATTCTCACAACACTGATCACCGCCATACTCGCATGTGGGATAGTCACAGCCGTCCGCCGACAACTCATTAGCGTCATCGCACATCTCGAAGGGCTCCGTCCGAAGACCATCACCACATATTGCTGTATATAAGAACAACCTACAACCTTCCAAGTGAGTTGCACGCATACACAACAAATCACCTCATTGTAGGGGCAATCTTGACCCTTCCGACCCTCCATACGTGGAGTTGATTCACCCCGTCCTCTAGCGCAAAAGCTGTACCCACTTCGGTGATGCTCATGTTGATTGAGAAAGGCCCCGATAGACTAGTTGAATTGGCGATCGATGTCAATGCCCGATGGATCTATTCTAATGCAGCTACCGGAAGGACCAAGGAGATATTGAAGTTTCACCATTTTTACGCGAAGTGGCGTAATACTCCATGTGAAAAACGCGATATGAAGTGAATTGAAAATACTTCGCGAATTACAGCGGGCAAATCACTCCGTACTACGTGAAACACACCAAGTCTTTTGCGCGTTACTCGCTGCTTACATGCGTTTTTCGCAAAGTTAAATGTGATATATGTTTTTCACTAATGTTTCCTATGGGGAGGACGCACGCTGAAGAAAGTCACTCCTCACTCCCTAATGCACCCTAGAAGCGTGACCGTGGTTCAACTCTCGGGGCGTGAATTTGATATCGCGGTAAAACTTCATTTTTTCAATCCCCGCCGTTAACGAACTCACCATTTGGGTTCTAACGAGTGCCTGAGCCTCAACGGGCTGAGGATTCATAGACACATTGAGCGCTAGGTGCTCGGGATGCGTCAAACGATCGAAAACCTACAGAGGAGAGAAAAATATCAACTCAAAAATTTCAGTAAAAAACCCAGCAGGCGCATCTGATGGCAATATCAATGGAATTTTCCCTGGCAAATTTTTTAATGTATCTGATCAATTCAATTAGAGAAAATTAACGATTTTTAGAAAACGAAAACTTTATTTGCTTACCATCACTGCGGGACGAATATGATGCAAATCCACCACTGCTACCGCGTTGTCATCAAGTAGCTCGAAATCCAACACGATTCTGAAAAAATGATAAAACTCGTCTCCGAGTGTCGGCTAGCAACATCCTCAACTAAGGGCAGGACCAGCGACCAATCTAGCTTTGAGAGATAACGTCCCCCAGGGTTTGATGAGAATGTTCCTAATGCGATGATATTTACATGATGAAGTGATTGGAAAATGCGTTCCTAGCCATGTAGAAAATTCAAAATAAGTTCCCCCGGGAATAATAAAGGTTCCTGGGTGACTCCCTGGGCGGAATCACTCAGAAAAGGACGGCGACGACGAGAGAGCGAAGTCCGCTGCCCGCATCAGTTTTGTATGGCAAAAATCTGCACATGGTCAACGACATATGTTGGTGACAATGAGGAAATTTCGAGTAAAATAGTGCTTGTTTCTATACACTTCAACTCCGAGTCATGTGTAAACGTCTATAATCAGTGAGAGAACTCCTGCTGAGCTCAGCTGAGGAAAACGAGCTCATGACACCATCACAGCAGCGTAGATCTACCTCTTCATAGTTGTCATGCTATGATCACTCACGGTGAGCAATCCTGAGCACTGCTCGGGACCGGGCGAAGAAGACGATGACGTTAGTCTGACTCAGAGGTTTTCAACATTGTCTTCCCGAGCTCGCTAACCCACTGTATTCTCTTGCATCCAATTGCAACTGCATCGTCACGCTGTTTTACACATACATCACCGTTATAATAGTCTCCACCATGACCTATAGTGTGGGATGATAGGCACATTGTCAACCACGACAACAACAACAACAACAACAACAACAACAACAACAAAAAGAAAAATGGAGTTTCGCCCGTGATACGAAAAACACTAGTGCAAAACATATTTCATGACTACTGCATAGTGCGAATATCGCGTTTTTCACCGAGTTTTACGCTACCTCACGTAAAGCGAGTGAAACTCCAATAGTGATAGGAACAACAATAGCAACAACAACAACAAAAGCTACTCGACGTTGCAATATTGGCGGTATGAAGTATCCATATCAACATCAGAAACACACTCCAAGGATCCTTCCGAGACCTCGGATACTTATGCTCATATTTAGCAGTATTAGAAAATATGCACTTAGTAAACTACGTGTGTTGATGACAATGTGAAAACTGCGAGGAATTTCGTCAAAATTCCTTCTTTTTCCTGAGCACTCCCATTATGGTGGTCCCATACTAGTTCGCCTACAAACTTTGTATGGGACTCCACTAGTAGGCGAACTCTAATGAAGTACTAGACTGTTTGACAATTTGTCAAACAGTCTGGCAAACAGTGAGTACTACAAAGTACAGTTTGCAGATGTACAGTGAGCAGTGATGCAGGTAACAGTTATGCAGTGAGTACAGTTTGTACTACAAACAGTGTTTGTAGTACAAACTGCTATAATTCACGTGAAAACTTCTCAACTCAGCTGAAGCAAACAAACATATATTTCTCCAGCTCACATGCATAGTCTTTTTCCACTTGGCAGAATGTCGAGCACCCGTCTTCGCCTATTAAATTTCCATCATCGCAAGCCTCTCCAAAATGTCTTCTCCCATCGCCACATTCTCTCAAGGCGATTTCAAATCCCCAACCAGTAGTTACTTCGTCAATCATGTCTCTATCGATTCGCAGTAAAACGCTGGAGTGAATAACCCGAGGATCATCGCCCGGACAAAACCGTTCGCGAGATGTGTTCAAATACATGCATGTCGTCGCGCGCGGTTCACTCCAAGTTACTATTGCTTCCTTCACCGTCTCAGCTAGAGCCACTATAAATGTAGTCGTATATCGGATGAATTTTTCTGCCCGTACGACCGCGCGCCACGAATTTAAAACGATAGTCCAGTCGCCGTAACAGTAGTCAGGTTCACATCTCACTTTTACTGGTTGATAGTGACACACCGAGACGCCCCGTACGCCATCGGGCTGCGAGCAAGCATACCAGGCTTCTATCATGCACCGACTGTCGCAACCGTCTCCATCAGTATTGTCCCCATCATCGCATTCCTCATCATTTTCATCGTCAACAACTCCGTTACCACATAGTGGTTCACACGTGTTGTTGTCCGAAGAGCACGCGTACTCTCGGGACGCTGTGCAATCGTATTCACAACCGCTTGTGGGGTCCCCATTAGAAACACCTATGGCCAGTGTGAAGAGGAAAGATGCGCATGGTCAACTACTTGTGTTAGTGACAATATGGAAATTTTGAGGGAATTTTGAGAGATTACTGCTGGTTGTTGTACATTTCTACCCGAATTCGTAAGTATACTCCTATAATTAGCTCATATATTCCTCCAGCACTGTATGTGAATGGCATTCCAACAATTGTAGTATTGTGAGCTTACCTAGATCACATTCCTCTCCTTCCACAAGAACACCATCGCCACAAACACTAGCGCAACCTCCAGGGTCACAGCGCCAACCAAGCAATACTGTACAGTCGTAGGCACATCCTGTACGACCGTTCAAGATGCCCATATCGCAATTCTCATCGGTTGACCTAAAGAACATGTAGATAAAATTATAATGCAGCTCATTGCATTTCGGCTGAACCAGTGTGGTCGTAGCAACGAAAAATGTCTATCGAGTTCGTGAGTGACTTGTCGAGCTGATGACAAGTCAAATATGATACTGAGCGCAAGCTGAAAAGTCCGTTCCGTGTCACCGGCTCGAACGACTTCTAACCTGGACCTTAAATAAAGCGGAAATCTAATCCGTGGTTTCTCCTAGCACTAATATGTTGTTTACGCCTGAAGACGAATGTCTAACGTGGATCAATTTCAGCAGGAACGTCAACAAGAAGCTTGGTGAGAAGAACCTTTTGAGTCCACGAGTGAGAGTTCACCTTATGCCGTCGCCACAGGATGAGGAAATTCCCACTAGAAGTTGCCATTGTCCAATTTGGCTCGAGGTTGTGTGCCAGCCAAGCTCAAGAGAGCTGCCGAAAGCAGCCAGTCCTCCATCGAATGGTAGAACGTCCCCTGCGAAAATGAGACTCCCCCGCTGATAGCGTTTTCACACTACCGCATATTCGAGTTGGCTCATCACAGTCAGCACGCCCGAGACACAGGTAGTTGTCGCAGTGTCCTGTAGTTGTTCGAGGAAGCGCGAGGTCGGTGAACTGGAGTGTTAACTGCAGACGATACGAATGCGTATGAAACCAACTGTTGCGTATTCAATGTACACTACGCAGACACCTGCGCATGAGCAATAGAGTGAGCGTATAGTCGCGAGATTCTCATCTTATGATTTTCGCTCCCATCTTTAGACCCAATCGAGTTCACAGTATTGGCGGTTGCTATTAGTAACGTTGTTGAGGACTCACGTTTCTCTCGGATGTGACAACGATCTTCGTGTGTTGATACGACACCAAGTCGGCAGTCGTAGTCTTGATTGAAATACTTGTTCCAGCGCCCATCGCCGTGTCACTGCGAAAGGGCGAGAGTAACACCAGCCCGTACGTGTCTCTCATCGAGAGCGGATTTTGTCAATCGCCTTCGCGGTTATTTTCTCTCAGGTTGCACTATGAATGCCTAATAGGAATTATCTGTTGCTTATGAATAAACGATAGAATTAACAACTACTCAACAGGAATGTGATGGATGTCCCCAATACTCAGCAGCTCGAAGGTCTGAGAGCCTATTACCGACATTATTCTGTTCACACACATACTGTTCTACAGTACGTGTCAATTTGATATGCAAATGTGTGTTATTTTGTAGGACAAACGATAGTGAACAAGTTACCGCTATCATCACAGTCCCAAACGGGTACTCTCATCATCACAACACATGTTCATATCCATCGTTACATTGCAAATTGATTCTCATCAATCTCGGAAAATAACAAATTTATCACACTTGCATGTCAAAACGACACGCACTGTCCTCCACCCGAGCCGCACGAGTCGCTATTCACGATGATAAGTGAACCAACATTGGAAGTGTTCAGTTAAGGACGTAACATTCAGGGACCCATTTGGCTTTGAAAGACGACGTCTCCCAGATTGTGATAAAACTGAGGGAAGTGTTTCTAATGTGATTAATGACCGGATTGAGGAATTTGCTCTTAGCCATGGAGGGAGATTCAAAATGAGTTTTCCTCGAGAACATCATAGGTTCCTGGATGATTCCCTGGTGACATTCGAAGCTCACATGTGTATGCCGTTGCAAGGCCAAGCCGAACAAGGCACCCAATCGTCATCAGCTCCATCTGACTCATAGACATGTTTAGGACCTCCATAGCGCGCGGGTGTTACCTTTCGTTTCAACATAGATTATCACTGATGGTTTGACTGACTTATAATATGTCACTGTAGAGGCGAACACGTTGATTTGCAATACGGTGTGGATACACCAGCCCAGGTAGTGACGAGAGATCATGCACAGTCACATACTGTCATCAGTAACTTTGTAACTCTTGTCAATGCTAAACCGGTAGCTGGTGAAATGATGATATTATTCAATCGCTTTCGAACCGCACAGAGCACGTACTCCGCACGCGCGCGTGCGATATACCTGCCCGACCGTCCCATGGAACCGATAAGGGTGAGTATTGAAAATGCCATTTTCAAAATGGTGCATAGTTTGTTATCAGAGTACTTCCCTAGTAGAGATGTACTCCGCAATAAAATATACTTGAATACACCTAGTGGCAAATATACTTCATCTACGTATACGCAATAAAATACATTCGCAAAATACTGCGAATGTATATAAATGAAAGTAAGCTGCGCGTCTGACATTATTCGCGGCCGTTGTCGGCACAGTTTTCCAGCAATGGCTCACACTTGAGAGCCCAAATTTCCAGGTTATAGCTAACGGGATGCTAGCAGGCATATCCTCGAGTCTCAGATCGCCATTCAACCTATCCTCGAAGAACTAAGCGAAAAACCCGATATTCGAAGAATATTTCGAGGACTGTATATACTAGCCGTTACTCACGAATAGTATACAGTACGGGCAGGTTCCATGCAGGTTCCAGGGCCTACGGGCAAAGCGTATGGAGCAACAGTGAGAGCGCGGGAAAGTTTACAGCAGAGGAAGAAGTCTTTATAGGGAAGAAAACGAATGTTGACGAGCGCTGAAGGTTGACGATAGCCCTTTTTATCACACAACATGAGTAGTAGGAAACACTAACCTTACTATTAATGAACTATAAGTTATTGAACACCCGTCCAGCTCCATACCGTTCCTTTCGCAACTTATATTCAGTCCCTATACCATCTCCCCCTCCCTCCTCCTTCAAGGCATCCACTGTTCCCATATACTCCTGCGCGAATATCATACTCGAGCCGTCTCTCCATACCATCTTCCTCTCAATTCTCTCCTCATTCAGCCATACCCTTGGCAAACACCTCATTTCCCCCACAGACGGCTCCTGTGGAGTAGTAGAGAAAACTACCCCCACTGCTACGAACTCCTCACTAGGTGGTATCGGTCGCCACGCGTTCACCTGTACCTTTCCTCGACGCTCTGACCAAATCAATCGAAATGCTACCGGGTGAGGGAGATGCTTATCAAGCCATTCCGTCAAGCACGACGGTGCTCTCGAATCTGAAATCTTCACTGAGTCTACCACTTCTAACGCCAGGCCATGCTGTGGTTGTTTGGAAGAGGCTACGGCCAAGTCTCCCAGGCTGACACGTATTCGAGTCTCCGGACTTCTCTTGGCCGTCCATCCACCGCCTTCCTCAAGATGTGAATATTTCCACACACTCAGAGGAGCGCAGGAGATCCCTGAAGATGTCCACACTTTGGTGAAATGCCGATGCGGCACCAGTCTGAACCTATACCGTACCATTCCATCATCAACTTCGGATGTCCCTATTTCTCGCGGGTCGATTCTCTCTCTTGACTCATCTGAACTATCAGGACCGCTTTCCCTCAGAGAGTCAGGAAAATACTCCCCCCACTGCTTCGTCGAGACAACCCCATCAGAGTTCATCAACAACTTCACCACTCGCTGAACATGGGCGTCTGATAGACCAGGAATATGAAGACTCTTCAGAGCATTTACTGCCACCTCGGCTGACAGACCATCTCGATAAGGCTCCGTCCAAGCCATGAAGAGGTCGCTGGGTCGAATCCCACGGCCTGCCATTCCTGTTCTGAGCAACTCAATACTCTCCTCCAATGCAGCCTTCCTAGTCTCGTCAGGAGACATCAACACACGGGCTATCGACGTGCCTTTCCACGAGCCATCACTCTGTGGCCTTCTACGACATGCACGCATGCGCAACCACCACTGCAACCGGGCCTCATACCGTACATCCTTCAACGCTGTCTGGATCATAGCGAGTTGCTGCGTAGTGAAACCCGTACGGTCACAATCGATGAACTGCCATAGTTGATCAATAGTATTAGTCGCGGAACTTCGACTCATATCCTCATACGATGAACTTGCGTCTAACGGCCGACTCGATAGACCTGGACACCGCAAACAACACGGTAAATTCACATTCGTGTCATCGTCCTGCATACGATGCATCGCAACCCGTATGTGCTCAGCTTCAACCAGAGATACCACTCCACTCAACCTCGGCTCGCAAAGATACTCCGTCAAAGCCATTGCTCGCTTCGGGGAGACGTCCAGGTCAATAAGGTTCACCATACTCGAACCAATCCTCGCCACAATCGAGTCAACTCGATTCAACAACTCCTTCACCGTAACGCTCTCCTGTTGCTGCAGAATACCATCAACCGTCAGTCCAGCTGAAACGGTCATGTCGCTCGGCAAACCATCAAGTAAAGTCTCCAAGTCTTGCCGCCCAAGACTAGCCATCACACCCATGCCCAACACCTCCAACGCGCTCTTCACCGTTCGACAAACCCCATCGCGATCAATAGGGTCCACAGGAAGCCCTCGTGGGGGCGGTCCAAACTCGAATGTGACTATGACATTCTTCACTCGCCGAGCCCCAGCTTGCATCTTCCATGACTGTCGATACCAATTGTTCGATACCATCATAGCCACCGGAAAGGGCAGTGGCTCAGCAGCTGTTTGCCCGAGCACCCCGTTCGAGAGGGTCAGTTGATTCGCCGGGTAGAATGCCTTGATCGTCGCGTTAGCATCCTCGCAAACTTGGCGTAGATTCCACGGTGTGATCGGGGCTTTATCGCGGTTGCATTTCTGATCAGCTGCGGACTCCCGTTCAGTCTCCACTTCCAACTCCTGAGAAAGAAAGCGTTTTGCTGCCAGTAGCCTGGAGTCGAGAAGGCCTCATCCGAACCAGTTTTGTATCTTATCAACATGAACCTCGAGATACCTGTTGAATCTCCTGCTCCTGCTCCTGCTCTTCTTCCTCCTCTTCCTCCTGCTCCTCAACCTGATACGAACCTCTTAGTCAATATAATCCCCCAAACAAGGATCTTATCCCACCTGTTCGCCCGACAACTGTAGATTTGCGCTGTCGTATGATTTTTGGGCGCGCGACACAGCATCGCCGAGAGCCTCCAGACACTTCTTCGCCTGAAATGCGAGTCAACCGAATTCAGTCAAAGACTACGAGGACCCAAAAACTCGCCCCGGAAACTGATGGTTAATTCCATAAAATCTCGGGCCGTGGAATACCAAACACTGTCGTCTCTGTAGGACGTCATTGCGTTGCTGTCCCCCAAAACAGCATAAAATTAACAAAGTCATCTCACAGTTAATTCAACGGCGAAAGCAATGACCAATCTGATAACCACGACTTTACCTCATTTCGCGTTTGCATGTCACTGAGCCACTCAGTAGAGTAACTTTCCAACTTCCGCTTCTCCTTCTCATAGAGACCCATGTGTAGACTGCTCCCCTCTGGATCTGTGCTTATGGTATGATCTACCGGCTCTCGCAATAGGGATAAGCATCTGCGAAACGACGCAGTAGGGAAAATCTCAACCCTCATCGTTGTAACGGTATGCGGCAAAACTCCTTCATTGGTCACGAGTAGAGTCATATAGAGACCAGCACTCTTTCTTAGGCAAATTTGACAGAATCGATGATCCAAGGATGAGGTACTGGCTCATATCATGGGATCAGGTAATGCCAACTCACTTGGTAGATTCCTTTGGATCCTGCTCCATCCTTCGCCATGCAACATAACGCCACACATTCTCCACATTCTGTTCACACAGCAGGACATACTGTGAGCTCACACTCGAGATGGAATTGAGGCAAACACTGCGAAGAGTAAACAAAGTAAAACCCTATCATCTGAACGGCCGCCAGCTACCGAGCGAACACTCGCAATAACAGTTCCCCTTGAGAGATAGAAGACTGTTGATCGCCAAGGATTTGCTTACTCACCTGCAAGTCGAGGCAATATATATTCAGCACATGCAAACTCGTGGTTTCCACACTGTTTATTCCGAGAACAACCAATCAAGATGATCACTACAGTCGGGCTGATCACACCAACATCTGCTCACCTGCGCTGTAGTAATAAGTGTCAACTTCTGCCCTAGCGTGCCTCCAAGCCCTCTCATACGGAATGCTGACTGCGCATAATCTCTACAACACGAATCATCCATCATCACATCGTCAACTCAGCCCTCACCTGAACGTTGTCTCCTTCCCCAATGTGATCATCCCAATGCTCCCAGCCGGCTGGGCAATGTCCATGCCTGTGGTGTGAATGTGATCGTAAAAGGTAAAGCGCCGTCTCGGGTCCAATCCCGAGTATGCTAGTGGAATCGCTTTACCGTTGTTCGACCGCTCTAGTATCTGCGGGTGGGATGGCAGTGTAACTTATGTGCTATAAAGTTCCAACATCCTGTTTATATCAGGAACTCTGAATGAAATTCGTAGCACACGGTCTCGGTTTCATGCATACAACAGCATTGTTGGAGGAATATATATAAGCGTGCATTATGAAAGAACACTCTTAACTCACCAATCGCTGATCAGAGCTGTCATCTAGGAATACGACCGCATCGAAGGTTGCCGCTGGTAAGATACGAAGAAGCTCCTGAGCAATGTGCAAGTTGCTCACTCCCGTTATCAGCGCACCACAGTCTATCAGCGCATAGACGCCCTCGACAGAAGCAGCCTGAAACATTCAAACATGGCAGCAACCAGAGTACCATTGCTCAGCACTATCCCTTTGCGATCTTTAGTACTGACGAAACTCACAATGCGAGATGTTGGCTAGGAGCCTCTCTAGCATAACTAGGATACTTCTCGCAACAAGGCTGTACCCCACACCATAATACGAACACCAATATCTAGGGTCTGGCCGACTAGGTCGATTAGTGGTCAATCCGATGTTGCAGCCGTTCGAGTGGTAAGCATTCCCACACATCAACCATGCGCTTTTCCCCTTTGTTGAATATGTTATATTTTCATTGAACAACTAATTACAGCCTCTCGTTCAATATACCACTCCATTGCCAAATATTCGTACATCAAAGGATCTTATACACGAACATTTCGACTCACCTGCTTCAACAGGTCATTTACTGTCCACTCAGGGGGAAGCGTTGCCAGCTGACCTCCATCCCCAATAACGATACCAGTGTCCGTAAGAGTAGCCGTGATATGTCCATCACAACCTCGTTCATACCTACTCGATGATCTACACATCATGAAGAGCTCTCATGCTTACTGGCACTCTCCCATATGGGTTGGCAAGAGGTCATTGGGCGTGCCCGAGAAGCCCAGTCTATGTCGAAACAACAGTGGTGAACCAAGCTCTTGGCCACTAGCAACCAGGACGCCTATCGATAGACAGTTCCCCAAGTCAGACGGACAAGTCTTACTGGGAGTGTGTGAGAGAGCATCTGGGAAGGCTACATTGAATAGATAGTGGATGGTAGCCGAAGGCGATGTCCGACGCATGAGGCGCCATAGTATCTCTGAAAGAGTGTCTGTATTCTCATGGGAGATATCAGCATCAGGATGGTTGTAAATGGATCATAAATTTGCCAGGTATTCTCGTCAGTGCAAAATTGGCTCGCACCGACACAAGGTTGAGAACCCATCACAAAACTTTGATGGCGGCCGCCAATCTTCACGCGGACCAGTCGGCACTCACCCATCTGATTCTCATCGCGAGGATCAACAAGCTCCAACGGCCACAGGGAGTTCCTGATGGAATCCATCTCGTCATCATCACCGTTACCATCAATATTCGAGTCGAAATCGCGCCAAGCCGTGCCTGGAATGCAACTTCATAAATCAACAGTCATTAAATGCGACGTACCAGTAGTGTCCTTTTCCGTTCCCTTCCCCACGTCGATCAACGGTGTGCCGTCCCAAGTGAAACCCCGGACTCGGGCGCCAGCTTCACGCGCCCACTGGACCCATCGCAGACAGTCGGCTCGTCTACAGTGGGGGATTCCAACGTCAGCCTGCATGCCCTTTCGCGAGTCCGTCAGCAACGCTTTGAAGTCCGCCATCCTCAACCCATTGCAACGATATGCCAGCAGAGTGAAGCCAATAAGCACATCGGGATGGGAGAACTCCGAGGTCGCGCTAGGTCTGTCTTTACCCACGTAGGGTACAGCCAGCAATCTCCGTGACTTAGATGTGGATGAGGTGATCCAGCTTGAGGGAAGCAAACCGTAATCAATCAAATACCTCTTTCCTAGTAGGAAGGGGAGAATAGTCTGCAGCCACTGCCGAGCCAACAGCAGGAGCTTCACATCTCTATCCCCCAGCGCTCGGCACAGGCTCGTCGCCTCATCGTCGTTACCATTAAGGAAGGCAACCAAAGCGCTGTCCGTGACTTCAAGGGCGACCGAATTAGATCGTAACCAAATCAGAGTCCACTTGCATAGCCATGGCAATAGCAGATGCTCGTAGCGCTGACGGTCATAGAGGAGAAGGTGCGGCCTGTCCGACAGCCATTCGTCTTCGATGCCTCGCCTCAGGGCTTTCTTGATATTCTCCGCGGTCTCGAGAGCATCCTTCATGTCGCAAAACTCAAGCAAGTCGACGTTTTCCAGCAAGGGGCTGATAATATGCCAAGCGAGCTTCCATCGCAGGCCAGCCGACGCCTCAGGATTATCCTCGCTAGTTGGCTCAGTCATATCCAGCGGTCTCTTCTCACCAAGAGGCCATCGCAGCTCCGATTTGAGAGGATGCAAGAGTAGGTCAACTTCGTCCATCAGGATGACACCCGCCTGGAAGACTTCGAGGACCTTCAAACAGCGGACAATTTCTTGTTCGACGGCATTCCGCTCGCTTTCACTGAGGGGGTGTCGACGCTTATCATCGGCGTGCTTCCCGATGAGCTTCTTTAGCAACCTCTTGCCTTTCCGACCAACACTAGTATTGGCTTTCAGTATGTCGTCATCAACCAGCCTCTGGCGAAGTTCAGCCCACTTCAGGACTATGCTCTTTAACGTCTGTGGTGTTGCGACCACTACGGCCTGTCGATGCTGTGCCGTAAGAACTTTCCTCACAAACTTCTCATCACAATTATCAGAACGACCGAAGTCTAGCGTGATAAGCGGAGCCGCGATCACCGGTGACGAATAGCGACCTCGAATGACCTCCCGAGTGAACTCTAATAATGAGCTAGCCACACAGCAAACGACGAGCTGCTGTTTGTTACGGAGTATCAAACCAAGTAAGGGTAGGAGTACAGTAGTCTTGCCAGCACCCATGATCATCTGATGGACCATCGCCTCATCAGCTGCCGCAGCCGTTGTGAACTTATCCAGAAGCTCCACTTGCCCTTGTCGCAGTAGAATGCCGAAGAGGAACTCGCATGTGAGAAGACGAGGGTCGTAACCGAAGCGACCATTCACGACGGGACTGCAGTAGAATCGTCGACCGCACAGCTCCAAGAGCGTCTTCTCACCCGCCGCGCCCTCCTCACTTCTCACTCGCTCGGCCGACTCCAGTACGCGTCTTAGCTGCTCGATGCGAGTGGTCACCAACATGGCATGGGCAACAGCATTGAAGACCGCTGCAGCATCTAACCTAGGATCTCGCGACTTCAACTGCTTCAAGATATTCGCACCATCGTTGGCGGTGAACAAACGGATAAGGGTGCAGAAGTTGAGTGTGACCTCCCGACCAGAAACCATCTCCACCTTCTCCCTCGAGACCGTCGTTCCATTAGCCATCTCAACAGCTCCTCCTATCAGGACATCGAGTAGCTCAACATCTTCCGCTAGTTGCATGGTGGCCATGTCCACCACCCGCCCCATACTCTGGCTAAGGAAGTAACTCTCCTTGTCGGCTTCCATCTGATTGAAGTTCTCAATGTCGGCTTTCATCCTCTCTACCCATTTCTTCGACACTGGGCTCCTACAGGCCTCATTGCGACCGATAGCTTCTAACAATTCCTCCACTTGATCGAGATGGGACGTGGCCGGAGCCTCTCCCACGCCGCCGCCTCTTCGTATTAAACAGCTCGCAGTCACTATCTTCTCCAGAGGCCGAGCGGCAAATTCGGAGCCGCCCCCATAGCAGTCGAACTCGCGCCGATCACAGTCGAAAAACTCCACAAACGGTGCGCACAGCCATTGCTCTGGGCATGGGACAGAAGTCTTGGCTCGCCATGGTGAAGCGAAGTGCGGCGGGAGTGGTAACTTCGATATAGCATTCCCAACTTCGCGCAGCCACTTAGACTTCTGCTTACCCAAAATGTCGAATTTGCTTAGCTTAGGCAAGGGAGGAAGAAGCTGTTGAGCCTCTGCTGCCGGCGAGTCCGATATAGTTCGCAGTACCAAGGCGAAGCCACCCGATCCACGGACGCAAGTTCTAGACAAACAAGCGGCCACTGTATGGGGGTCATCATAGCTCCACGCCTCTATCGACACAGCACCGGTGAAAATCTCGTAGATTAGCATGAAATGCATTGAGTCGTTCTCAATGAGATACTTAACCGCATCGGCACCGGTGACCTGGGAGGCCTCTCCTCCGAGCTTGGAATAACCGCCAAGCTTGGTCCACGATGACAATGTACTTGTAATTCCATCAACGTCGCCGCGACCGCCAACACCGCACCAACCATCACCATGTTCGAAAGTAAGGTCGACGTTAACGAAAGCCGTGTGACATAAGGTTCCGTGCAAAATCTTGCGCCTGTTCTCGACCTCTGTCGTTCCTGTTCCAACTTCTATCGTTCGGATGACTGCGAGGTCGTCCTCAAACGGAACCACCGCTCCTGCAGATACGTAGCGCAGTTTACATACATAATCGTGTACCAGGTCCGGTATGTTCCATGGGGAGAATGACGGGCTGTCATCGACAAATGGAAGCACCGCAGCAGTCAACCTCATCTTCAGCGCGGAAGCATCCACATTGGAATCATGGAGGAAATCAGGTCCGCCAAAGATCGCTAACTGCCCAATAGTGGCATCATCCGCAAATACCGACATGATCATATCAGCAGCCTCAGGATAGAGACCTGCAAGCCACTTCATACACAACAGGTGCAACGCGGCCTTCTGGTCTGGCGCACTGACGAACTGACCAGAGGCGTGTTGGGGGTAAACAAAGTGGCCGCATACAGGGCTGTCACTATTCTCGAAGAGAACAATCTCACCGCCAACAGACACCCGTCCAGCCTTGAGCCCAGCCGAGCTAAGGATCGCCCTTGTGCCGTATTCTCCACATAAAAGCGCTGTCGCTCCTATGAACTCTTTCAACAGCGCTTCGCTCCATCTCGAGATTCCGTCATCACGACGAGCCAACCAATAGCAGTCATGCTGGTCGCAGACCATCTTTCCGTTACGGTCTGTGAAACTCAATTGAAGCCTCGGAAATTCAACGACAACAACGTGGCCATTTCTCCCCCAGACTAGCGCGTGTGAGGCAGCTTCCAACCTCTTGCATAGAGCAGCCAGTGACGAGAGATTCGAATCGGCAACAGCAAGAGGGATATTCAGCAGTTCCAATGGTGAGTCCTGTGACCCTATGACTTCACGGTACACTCTGGCATGCGACCGATGCTTATCGCCGACTGGAAAATGGACTAACAATGCCGTTTGAGGCCGATCAGAATCTCGTTGCTTCAGCTCCCCCACAAGCTGTCCCTGGTTAACACCGCTTTGCTGCTGCCAGAACACATACTCCTCCAGCAACTGCTCAGGGAGAAGTCCCTTCAGAAATCTGTTCGGTACGAACATCTCTACGCCACGTTCCTCCGCTACATCTCGGGTAATGACGAGAGATTCTGCTGGGACTGGATTTTCCATCTCTCGCCGACCTCCAATACACACTCAGCGTTCCACCCAGCATGACAGCTCGATCCTCAAGGGTATCACAAGGATACCCTTGAAGATGACTTGCAAGCGTAGTCGCCTCATCACTGCACCACACGAGCTGTCTATAAGACTGTCGGCCATGACCAATAACGTCATAGACCATAACAAGGGGAGCAGGCGAAGATACCACCACGATATCTCGAGGGGAGCCTTGGGTAGCGAGACCCGAAAGAATGCACCAATTACAGCTGGGAGATTCCTCGCACAAGTGAAGCCTGTTCGGAACGAAGTCAGTCCAACTAGGCAATTCCGAGAGGAGCTTCCGAGCCCAGTGCTTTGACGGCAGCTTCTTCCACTGCAATTCAGCTGGCGACCAATCCGGGTCTACTGCCCATCTCTGGATATCACAACGTAAGCCTACGAGCCGATACCACTTCCGGTAAAGTGACGATTCAACGAGCGCCACTTGGATGCTCTCAGTTGTGGTTTCTTCACCAAAGACTTCTGCAAAATCGGGGAATTGCAACGCCCATTCAGGCAGTGTGCTCAGCTGATGCTGCTTCAACGTGATTCGTCCAAGGTTGACGTTTATTGTCAAAGCTGGAGGCTGCGTCACCCCGCGCAGCCACTCCACATAAGGCCGCTCCTCCCCTTTCTCTTCGTGATTGGAATCCGACTGGGGTATGAACACTCCGAGCAAACCGCTTTGCTCTTCCCAGAGTCTTCTTGAAGCACTTTGATTATTGCTACTTGACACCATCTCGACAACTTCCTCGAGGACTCCACTAGCCCATGTCTGATCGGCTCTGAGTCGAAGGTAGATTGGCCTTCGGAAGAGAGTGAAGACATTCATGACCTCCACGTTGTAAATACCGCCCAAGACACCCGAAGGAATCTCCGAATCGCTCCAACTGTGATGCATCGACAGATACACTTGAGCTTTCAATACTGTTTCGTAGACCTCGCTAGTCTCTTCGTCATCCATTTCAAAGCTGCCTCGGGCTGCTGCCAACAACAATAAGTGAGCATGGGCACAATTAGCATCTTCGTATCGTCGTTTCCGCATGCTTGATTCGCACCAACGAGAGACGATGCTCCAAATCTTCCCGGTGAGCTTCGACCTCAGGATGCTCATGCACTCGTCCATCTTCTCACCCTCCACTTTTCCACTATACAACTCCGACACATGTCCGACATATATGCACACGCGTGCGACAAGTCGAGCAGCATAGAGAATACATCTCTGGCTCGGAGCTGTGTCCCTGCCCGTATCCCGTTCAGCCGCCGCATCCACAAGGTCTCCCACCGCTACTGCTATTTGCTCAGGGCAGTGGAGTAGTTCGTTCATCAACAGACCATCACGTGTATACGTATTCTCAACTGGTCCTGGAATCTTGAATGCCATCGTCGATTGCGGAGTGGACGTCCAGCGACCAGGCTCGTACAGGGCCGCGTCCAAGACCATCTGCAACCTAGGATTCGCCAAGGCCCCACATCGGTCACGATCCGAGAAGAATGCCAGCAAGAGTGGGATTCGGACATACGGTGCTGTCAAGATCGCCAGGATCCGCTCGATTTGAGACGGTGACAAGGCACCATCAAAATCAGGGAGATGCTTGAGGTATAGCACGTCCTCCTCCGAGTGAGTTTCTTCATTGCCGTCACACAGTGTGGATGGATTCGCCATGCTCGGCACAGATCGACACTTCCCCTTCTTCTTCCACTGATCGATCATATGTCTCATCTTGTTTGCCCTGCTCACACCAGCACCATCATCCTTGCTATAGCCAGCGCACTGGTCAAGGTTTTTCATACCAAAACCTTCCACTGTGATCTTCCCCTTTTCGACGCGCCACTGTAGTCGAGCGTCGCTACTGCGATAGCCCTTCCTCGACGGATTTGGTAGTTTCTCACCGTTCGAATTCAGGACGATCTTCGACAGAAACACGACATCGCGAAGCCAACCTAGCTCCGGACAATGATCAAGAACATCCGACATCTCCCCGCTTAGCAGTTGGGGAACGTACTCGCGGCATGTTCCGCCGAGTCCCAGGTTCAATCCGAGCTGCTCTATCAGCTGCGTCTCGGCCGGGCCGACTTTCACACCAGCTACGTCGAATTGGAAAAGCTGTTGTCGCTCTCTGTGATCATCGACTACTGCAGTTTGAAGCGTCTGGAAATACTCCAGAGCCGATGCACGTGCTGTCGATAACTCAGGCCAAAGCAGCAACGAGTAAGAACTTTCTTCAGCGAAAACTCCTGCATCCAGTACGAACGGGAGCACAGGACCTTCAACTCGACCACTGTAATGTCTCGCGAAGAGGGATGGAGTGTCAGTCGAGACGATTCGGCAAAGTCGATCGGTGAAAACGACTAGCATGGTCGCGGTCACCAGCCGTACTGCATCGGATGCCCTGTCCGAGCGACAATCGACACTGAATGCGGCAGCCGCGAAGTGCCTCGTGAGAAGATGAGTGTATCGCAGTAGGAAACTGCGATTGGCTTCGATGCGGAGCTCCGGAAGAATCCAGAAGTGCTCATCCGTCGGCAACGGCACTATCCGACACATCGCGGTAGCGATGAGTGACAGACAGGTTTGCTGCGCCTGGGGGACCTCTCCAGACTGGTTTTGGAGGAGAGCGATTGAGAGGACGGAATTGTATAGGAAGTCTCTCAGCTCCGCCACCGAGCGAACGCGTTTGTTTTGCAGGGAGCACAGATCCACCGGTATGAAGATCGAAGGCGGTGTTACAGGACCCGTCAGGTTTTTGGTATCCTCCATCTTGGACAATCGATCAAACCAAGGGAATTGTGTATCAATATCAGAGTACCTACAAGGAGACTAGGGCTAAAGGAAATACAATTTCGGTTCGCAAACGATGGGAGAACGAGCGGCCCCAGCGAAAGAGACGACTACGAAAATTCAGAAGTTGCTATGTTATACAGAGCACACATACAAACAAAATACTTTATGGGAACGTGTAACCTGTTCAATAACTCACAGAAAGCAAAATTTCTAAGAATTCCAAGGAGGCCGAATATGAGAGAACATGCACTCACTTGATACGGCCATCAGGGAGACTAGGAGGTCTCCATTGCTGCTGGCTTTCATCAGGGTATGCTAGAGTTGCTTCAATGGCAGCCTCAATTCTTGAATTTTGTTGTACTATGAATGGTGATGAGCGCGAATTCGGAAACCTACACACCAACACGTGCTCTTCGATAGCAGCATTCGATGGAAGAAGCATGCTCTAAGGAACGTGCATTTTTCTTAGGCAAATTCCAAAATTTTCCGTTGCTCGTCAACTAAGGGGAGTTAAGAGCTGAAACTTCAACAGAGTGCAGTTATTATCATGGTACATCACATGTTGAGTCGAATCGGTCATATTCGAAACGGTTACTCTGGGCACGAGTTTCGACTGGGAAGCTACGGAACGTGTTAATTTCAAATCGACAATTTGATATGCAAATGTGAGAATGTGCGCTATTTAAAAGGCTATGAACATTCTAGTCTGTACGAGGGCTTAGAAACGTGAATCGGTCAGTTATTCAATATTTACGACAAAACATAGCCTCGACAACAGCCAAGAATTCTCAACACATCGCAATCCGACGTCCCCGCTTACTTCTCCTTATGCTCCGTCGCATACCACGCCAATCCTCGGCACAGTAACCGACGGCTACGATGGGTCATGCTCATCAGAATCTCACCAGGAAGGAGACTGAGCAAAGATTCCCGCGTAGACACGAATGCTGTCCACGAGGCAGTTGACTCGTCAAAAGAGTCGGGTGACGGCAACCAACGAAGAATCTGAGATTGGGAAGAAATATGTATATCACTGCAACCTCCCGCGAAAAACGGCAGATATCTACCCACGGGAAATACGCCTATATTTAAATCGGCGGTCCAGTCACAACAACCCATGTAAAAAAGAGCGTCGATTCATACCACATTTTCAGATTTTTTTCACCCGCTAACCATAAGGAAACATAATAATCAAAATACGCCAACTTACAGTATACAAGGTCGCTGTGCAAGTAACCGCAAATGAGTTGTCCCCACCAGTCGCTGGAGGCAGCCACGTCGCAAATTCCGCCATCCCAGGGTACTTCTGAATCGATCATCATACGAAACACTGCTTGCATTTGCCTTACATTCATTTGGGATTCGATTGGAGTGTCGTTCAAAAATGGCAATAACGTTCCAAAAACGAACTTCGCTCCGCCCGATTTTTTCTCTGGCACCACCAACTGCTTCAAAAGCTCAATCCAAAAGGTTGTGGTTTCTATGCGCCCTCGAGAAACATCATCGAAAATCAACGGGTTCAGTCGCTGTTCTCCCAAACCGTCATGATAGACGGGAAAATATCTCAGACCGCTGTCGCCGCCACAGCATGTTACCGCCATTTGACATTTATACTCGTCAATTGCGCGCACCAAAACGAGGATCATCCGGGCAGAGAAACCCGCAGGGATCATCATCATTTGCCCAGGTGATAACTGCCGTATTCTCGCAGTGATAGAAATAACTAGCTCCAACAGCATCTGGTAAGTGTGCTGGCGTACTTTGAGGAAAATGCAATGACGATCACAACGCAGTTTTATCAAAATTTAATTCCATACGACGGCAGGTTCGTGAAAGGATCAAAATTCTCATCACGGAAATTCGCAACAATCTATTCAAAATTTTTCAATGAAAAACAAGTGTACGCCTCAGAGAGCGTTCCACAGATGACTTGTGCAGATCACTGGGTGTACTCCAATCGATTCTGACGTAGTCGAACCATCTAGTGCTGGGAGTATATGCATACGGTCAACTACACGTGTTAACAAGAACGAGGAAATCCTGAGAAATTCTTATTGGTTTTTGTACACTTCTACCCAAACTCGCGGGTGTATTTCAACAACGTAGCAAAGAAACTTCAAAGCCCAGCTAAGGAAACCGAACATATATTCCAACACCGGTCAACTAACTAACGATCTAAGCCCAAACACAGTCGACGCAAGATTGTCCCTAATGAATTTGACCAAGTCAATCAGCGCTGAGATTTCCTCCGAGACTGCCACAGCCTACCTCTACGGTTGCCTTCTTGGTCACGGTTCGCGGTAGTGCTCGGCATATTGAGGAGGCGGTGGCGAAGATGCTACTGACCAACGGTGGAAGGCCGGCGATTCGGCCGAAAATCTGAAATTCAGATAAAAAATCCTGAGCAACTAAGATAAGGTGTGTATAATACTCAATCAACAGCAGTCAAGATGAGAATCTCCCACTCGAGAAATTACCATCAGAAAAATCTCCAGCGTTTTATTCATAGTCTCTATCCCATCGTCCGTCCGCAACGCCGGGGGTGCATCTACCGGAAGCTTGTTATGCTCCACGACTCCAACCTGACACGCACGTTCGATCCCACCATCATACATTCTCCTGTAGTTTCCACATGGGTTCAGTACGTTCAGAATAACGCTTTCTTAAAGAGCCGTCGGAGCAACTCTTTGTTAAGATGGTGATTACTACAAGGGGCCGACTTGAAAATGCCGTGACCCCATAATTTTTCATCCTATCATATACCATTTGAGAGCCCTTCTCGAGTTCTACGTAAATGGTCGGCATCCTGTACAATGGAGATCAACACTTGAGCTAACGACA